AAAAAAAAAAAAAAGACACTGGCATGGGATTGTAGTGTAGAAGCAATATCAACGAAGCTCTTTTCCATGTGGGTCATATAAGTGCTCCCTGCCTGCAGGTCCTGTGGCTATGGCACAGGCCTGTCTCCTGGGCTCCTAGAAAGTCGTGGCCCCACACTCCCCCAGCCCATGTGCTTATGGAGACATCTTCTTTGTACACTGCTGTGTGTCCTGCAGAATGACTGTTACAGTGGCCCACCTTGTTCTTTCCCACTGCTTATTCTTAGACACACACACACACACACACACACACGCCCTCCCAAAACTAGATTTGCCTCTGTTGTCATTGAGCAATAGAGCTCAATAGTGACAGCCTCACGTCAAAAAGTCTCATAAACATGAAATAAAACATATGCCGAGATGAAAAAGAATTAAAACCTTTTCCGTGTAATTGTAGAGCATATTACCAGATTTTAACTAAATTATGTCTGCTCTAAAAATGAAACTTTACACTCACACCAGTAATGATGCAATTGAAAATCAGTTATAAAAAAGAAAAGAAAAATCTGATTATAAGACTGCCGTGTCCCCTCAACTTCATACTTCTTTCCGCATCACTGCTGTGTAAGGTAAGAAAGTTGCAGCTGTCACATAATGGAACCAACAGTGGAAGAGGGGTCCTGCTTCCCCGTGACACCACCAGCACTTGCTATTGGTTGATGTCTTGAAAATAACCATTGTTTGTGGGGTGAGTTGGAATCAGTGTTTTAATTTGCATCCCTTAAGTGACCAATGATAAAGAACATTTTTTTATAATTTATTTGCTGTTTCTAGTTCTCTATCTTAGAGGTGTCTATTCATTTCGGATGCCCACTTTTGGATTGGATCTTTAAATTTGGAAATCTGATTTCTTTTTGAGTTCCTTATGTATTCTAGATATTAATCCTTTGTCTGAGAAACAGCTGACAATAATTTTTCTCATGGTGGTAGTCTTAAATCTTGATGTTTCTCTTGCTGTAAAAAACTTTTCAATCAGATGAGACCCCAGTTTTGATTCTTTGTGGCATCTCTTATGCTGTTTGGTTTTTGTTCATAAAGTCTTTGCCTACACCTACATCTTTAGGAGTTCTACCTATTCTACCTTATAGCAGATTTAGTGTTTCTTTTTCAATATTATTTTTCTTTCTTTTTTCTTTTTATTTTTCTTTCTTTCTTTTTTTTTTTTTTCAGAACCAGGGATTGAACCCAGGCCCTTGCACTTGCCAGGCAAGCACTTATTCTATTGAGCTATCTCCCTGGCCTCTCTCTTTCAATATTTAGATATTTGATCCATTTTAATTTTAGTTTAATTCAAGGATAGAAATGTTGGTCTAGTTTTAATATTCAGCATGTGGAAAGCCAGATTTTCTAGCACCATTTATTAAAGAGGCTAGCTTTCTTACAGTGAAAGCCTTTGGCTCCTTTGTCAAGGATGAGAAAACTGAA